GTTTACTCCATTGATCTGAGTAATCCAAACATGAGCATATCCCCCTGAGTTTGCAGTTGCAGACTGACCAACATCATTGGCAAAATTCTATGTACAAGGGAGGACGTTTTTCTTGTTACTGCCTCTCTCTGATAAACTCGCCCTCTTGATCGTGAGTACTTCTATATACAGAATAAGCCATTCTAATCATAAAAGTTTCATTTAAACTCGATTTGATTCAAGAGCTCGATAAAGACTAGTGCACACTTTATCAAAACAGAAACCCTGCAAAAATATATTGTTGTCCTGGCATCAGAATTTCTGCTTCCTAAAATAAAGTTCAAATCCACATTAGCAACTCCAAATTTATATGGATACAAGTTTCGACAATTTCACGTGTTTATTTGTGAGAGAGAAACAAATACATTCTTTTTTATAACAGAAGTTCTAAGCCTTTTAACAAAATATTACATCAGAAAGAGATTCAACTTAAAGTGACCCTCCTATTTACTCGTAGTATTCTCAGGTGAACTGATTTTCGCACAAATATAAAATAGAGAGATCCACTGAAAAAGGTATGATCAACCAAAAATCTTATGGAGTAGCCCCTATTTGCAAACATAACTAATTTTTCTTGTGTGTAAAATAATAAGACTGGACAAGTTTTGAATGAAACAAACGCAATGTTTACTATGAAACAAAAATTAAACGCAGCCTGCATACTTGCACAGACAAGATCACGGTTAATTATCTATTACATGGTGTTTTATTTGAACTTCCTTGGGATTGAACACTTCAGAACTAAAACACTATTGTCTCAGGTAAGATCTTTACTCGAAGATTTAGTATAATTGAAAGAATGAAAGCATCCTTGGCTTTTAAAATTCCTTTATATATCTAAAAATAAGTAGAAAACATGATATGCCGGCATATAAGATTCCTATCTAAATTATATGCATCACTTTACATTTTTTTATTAAAAACCATCTACCAACTTACCGAATAATCTAAATTATTTTGCAAAGCAGCAACAGCATCCTCACAATAAACAACATCCAAAACCTTTATATCATCGTTAAGTAAAGATAATTTATTGAGTATACCTTCATCTAAACACTAGTGTAAATCAAATAGAGAAAAGTTCCTAACACTGAGCCCTGAAGTAACTCCATTTATGTCATTAATCCAGTTCGACTAAACTCTGTTTATAGCAACTATGTTTTCTTCCATCCAACCACTTTTCTATACAATAAGCCAAATTATCTCCCCTCCCTAGTGTACAGGTTTTTCAACAAGCCTTTTGTCAAATACTTTCTGAAAATTCAGAAACACCAAACTCGCACCTTTACCTTCATCTACATAAGCAGTAATGTCTTCCAAGAATGTCAAAGTATTATGAGGCAAGATTTTCCCCCTAGTAAAACCATATTGACTATCCAACATATCGTCACTGTGGTTGAGGTAGTGAAAAAATATTGTTACGTCTCCGTTTGTTAATTAACTTTCCGTAACTTCGTTCTGACGAAACTTTAGCGACACAAGTCGTTACTTAATAAAACTGACTTATTCTTTCTGAATATAACTTCACGATACACTTGATTTCAACAGTCGCTCTTTTACAAACGTTTTAACAACGAACGTGCTCAACTTCAATAATACCTTCTCACTGCAGATTAATTACTCACTACCTACACACACACTAATGTCACGTTGTCACCCTCTTATATATATACCAGACTACCCTATATCTAGTAATCTCCCTACTATTCCCGAAGGTTCGAGAGGTGGCGTGACACTAGTCACGTGACCTAGCTGACGCAACACTGCCCCTCCTTAGTATTGTTCGTCCCGAACAATAGCCACTTACAATAAACCAATAACAATTAACAATAACTTAATTACAATCACAAAATTACAATTCAACAAAGTCTCTTAATTTTACGGGATGTATCTTCTTCCGTACTGGTCTCCGTCTTGTTGGCTTCTGCTTCACGTGGGGTTCATCCGCTTCATCAGGAAATGTCCTATCGTCGGTAACAGTCACATCAGTGGTAGTAACTTCATCAAGAGCTTAACCGTTTCCCTTCTCAAAACTGAGTAGAGTTTCTTCTTCGATGGTGGCTTCTTCAGGTGGTACGTCTTCAGCAGCGTCATTTGTTCTGTTTTCCACTTCATCCCAACTGAAATGTCCTGGACCGAGATAACGCCAAAGCCTTTTGGCATGCACCACTTTTGGCTTACCTCGCCGACCACATTTTATCCGGAAAG